CTGATCTAGCCAGCCGAGATGCTCGTGAATGCAGCAGCCTGTGTTGTTGTCTCCTCCACAAAGAACAGCCAGACAGTGATAGCTAAGAGGCTAACCGAGCAGCTAGCTAGCTGAACCACCATCAGCGGAGACTGGCTCTGTCCATCCGCCGCTGGCAACTCGTCGCTAACTGGCTACGGCTAGTACGTTAGCCGAGTGTTTATGCCAACGTTGTTTTCAATGTTAGCACGTAGTTGTTAATGATACAAGCATGTCAGTGTCGCAGTGGGCACAACGGAAAAGTAATGTCAGACCTGCCGTCAACAAAGCCGGAGAACCTCAATAAGCAGTGGAGTGCTTACCTCTGTTGCTGCTGCTTCTTCCTCTGCCTGCAGCCGCTACTGTACACTGGCAGGGCCCGACAGCTGGGTCACGTGACAGGAACGTGATTTAGACCAATTAGATCATCACAGTTCTCATCAACAACTGGAGTTGTCTAACTTTAATGTAATCTTAAATATCAGGATGCAAGAATAATGGACATGGTTGTAAAGGTATATAAATAATTTAGGTAGCATTGATCAGTTAAAACATGTATACAAATGTGTTTAACAAGTACTATTTCTGAAGCAATGGCTTATTATCACGCATTGTTGCAAACAACGACAATAGTATTAGTAATGCTTAAAATGAAGCAATTTCCCATTTAAACAGTTGGGTCATTTAATGTAGAACATTTGTTTTAATAATTGATTGCAGGGTGATATGTTCTAGTGTAGACAATAATGAATTTAGTTTTGGTGTATCTGATTGTTTTCATTTCCTTGCTACCTGCTTATGGTCAATTATACATGTCCACCATATCTTCTTTCAAGTTAATAGCCAAATTATTTCCAGAATTTCCTTTCAATCATAAACATAATTTTAGGTTTTAATATTGAACATGATGGACTTTTTTTCTTTTGGACTTCTTTTTTGGAATGTGATATGATACATTGAAATGTGTTAGTCTGCTGTTGTTTTTGGAAGTACAATATCCAACCTAGCAAATGTTTAAATCAGTATATACATTTCTCTAGACACTCTGCAATGGAATTTGTAAGACTATAAAAATGGTATTTATATGTGAACATTGTCACAGATCCCACTCCGGAACACAGGAGGGCAGCACGGGGCAGAGCTAGTTTCCCTTCTGTTCCACCTTCTCCAAAAACATGGCTGCTCCCATGGCTCTCAGACGAGAATTATTTTCTCTTGGAAGGGTTCTTAGCAGAGTCTCACATTTGGTAAGAAATGAATATATTTGTATTTGTACAACACCTACGAACAATGAACTAACGTATCCGTTTGAGAAGGAGTTATTACATCTCACAGTTTGGTAGCCGTTGTAGCATGGTGGGTCGGTTGTACAGTAAATGTCATTTCTAGATGTTTACTAATGTAAGTGTATTTACAGGGACCGAGAGCCTTGGGTGCCTGTTCACCTCACATAAAATGCTATAAAATAAGGTAAGCTGCAATTTCACTTCTTCACTCGTTTGTTGTCTACGCAGTTTATTATTAACTGCAATAAACCTGGACCTCGCGTTAGAGCTGTTGTCTGCAAAGTACATCAACTAGCCTAGGCATTACAAGATCCCCCTGCCCTGTTATCTGTTTTATTGCTATGTTGGCAGACAGTGACATTTATTGTACCTTTTTTTTATTAAAAAAAATGTGTATTGTGAAATAGCCCATACATTATGGCTGGACTGGAGTCTCACAATTTCAAAGCAAATTCTGTCTACTCTTTAAACCTTAAAAATATTATTTGTTACCATGATAATCTAGAATAGATGATAGCGCTTTTGTATATCTGAATAATTTCCTTATGTGCAAATGTTTTGATCCACATCACTATCAGATTTTTTAAATAACATTATTACTTATGTTCTAGACCTGCATTATCTACTTGAATGTGGTAAGACGTGTTGCATGTGAATTACTGTTTTGTTGCTGCAGGTCTCTTCTACCATTAGCACCGAGCACTTCCTTCCACACAGCAACAGTGCTTCCATCAACACCTTCACCAGTGAGTTATCAGTAAAATTCAATCATCTTAGACTGTTTTTTTTAACTGCTCAAGGTTGAAATAATACAAAAAAGACAGATCATATGCATTTATTGTGTTTTCATTTGTTTGCCTGCAGATCACTGTCACAGAAGAGCCTGACGCACTGTTTCAGAGGGTGTCGGTGCTGGTCAAAGGTCATGACAGAGCCGTGTTGGACAGCTATGAGATATTTGCCACCATGGCAGCCAATGAGCTGGGCATCACCCAAAACAAAGTGTGAGTAGCCTCCTGATACCTTTTTAAGCTACTAAAATCTTTACTGAAGACTTTTTTTGATGAACTTTTGTTCTTCTGCCACAGTTACGAACCTCCCAAGGACATGGAGAGATTGACGCTCCTGAAGTCGATTCACATCTTCAAAGATCACAGAGTCCAGTATGAGATGAGGACGCACTACCGGTGCATCGAGGTGATGATCCTGAACAGGGCTAATTATGTTTGTTTTATTCAATTAGCCAATGGTTATTAAAACTTCAAAATGGTTTGTGATCAGGGCAGGAATTTCACTGAGGGTTGTGATGGCCAAAGCCTTAAATATATACTAGGGTTAATTATTTTTAACAATTACTGCTTCAATTTATTATTTCTGTGGACTTGTGTTTTATTTAAAGACTCTTCCCCCTGGAGTTTGGCATGTGTCTACTCAAAAAATTGACAACACAAAGTGCCCCTGCCCCTAAAATGATGAAATTCCTGACCCGTTAGTGATAATTTGGTTATGAATCTAAGATGTCCCTTCTCTTGTTTTGTAGCTGTCTCATATAACTGGCTGCACAGCACAGGTTTACCTTGAATACATCCAGAGGAACCTCCCTGAAGGTGTAGCCATGGAGGTGACAAAGGTAAGCAACTATCCCACCTGCTCAATCTAATGCTGCATTCAAACAGCCTGAATTAATGTGTTTTTTCCCTTTGCTGTTGTTATCAGACAGCCATGGAGAAGGTTCCAGATCACATCAAAGAACCCATGTGGGAGGAACAACCCGTTGATGACAAGCCCAGCCAGTGAAAACGTTGATCGAATTACTGGATGTTTTCTCAGAATTGAATATGTTAAGAACTGCAATATTAACGTGTTTTCATGGATTCTTAAAACTGCTCAGCATAACGTTTTCAGCAATATCCTCAATATAGAGTTTAACACCAGAACTGGCATTCATTACATCAACATGTAACAGTCATTATCTACTGTCAGTTGTGTTTTCATTGTTGTTCTGTTGCAAAACAGTGTGGAATTACTTATGTTTTTTCAATAAATATATTATTTAACAGACTTATGTGCAGTTATTTAAAAGGAATTATAGTTTATAATAGAACTTCTACATTAATATAACATTGTTTGTCAAATTGTAGTTGATGCAGTGGTTTCTAATTCTGTACATATTCTGTAGGACACAAGACCAGCACACAATACATTTCTTTTTTTGCTTTTATTGAATTATTGGTTTACAAAGATATTTCAGGGCAACACAAATAAGTGACAATTTAATATGTATCTTCTGCTTAACAGTAATAAATACTACATGGCTTACTTATCCTGAGATAGATGGCTATACTTGTAGTCTCCATACATTACCTGAAGGTGTGCTTACTGTCTGTTCTTGTTAACATTTGACAGTACAGATATACTTGCATGTAAGTTGGTAAATCCAAAACATATTGTTTGTATTCATTTATTAAAAAACGAAATACCACAACCTTTATTCAATATTCCTCACGGTCTCTCGCCGAGTTTGTTACTGTTGCACAGTGGTTTCAACTTCCCACCTGAAAGACAGAATCTCCAGGCATCAGAGCAAGGGGTTTAAAGATAAAGACACAAGAGGAGACTCACCTTTTCAAGTTCCCGAACTCAGTGTCTTGCCGCTGGTGACTCGGGGGGGGGGGGGGACGGATGTGAGGGAGGGTCTGGGATCCTGTGGCCTGGGAGGTAAACTGTACTGTGTGCCCCCTTCAGGAGACAACAACAGTCAGGCTGTTATCATTAACCAAAAGGGAGAAACAAGAGTGGACTGCAGGGACTGGAGAGGCAGCAACATGTACGAAAAGTGCTGGAAATAAAACACTTTCATTCAGAAAAAAATGGAAAGTCCTTTGTTGCACTGGCAGTAAATGCAACATGCAGTATGAATAAGAAATGAGAAAGGATTGTGCTTCTGCTTCACAGCTGGGGTTTGTTTTATCTGTATACACACTCAGTAGAGCTAAAATAGCAGTACACTATGGAGCTACATGCATTCACAAAATAAAAAATGTTTAGTCGTCAACAATTCATGGTGTCTGTTTATCACTGATTCTAGAGTAAATCATTAATTTGATAATCTTCTTTTTGCTATAACCTAATATAAACATCTATATTTATTAATAAAATATTTAAAATGTACAGGAGTGTAGGATACATTATGCATTATAAGAGTATTAAATGAAATAGACAAATCCGTTTTAAATCAATTTACAATTATTGTCAAGATATTATCCTAGCAGCACACACATATTAGAGTCCATATCAGAATGTTTATCCTTTGCAGATGATGTCCTCCTTTTAGACATGCTACCACTGAATTGGAACTGTGGCATTACTCAAGTTGAGCGGTTCTGAGTCCTCCGGTGAAATTCATAAGGTAACATAAGGTCATCTTTCAAGTTACTAAAAGTGCAATTTAAAGATGCATTTTTCAGCCTTTTAATATCTGCAATAAGCTTCAGCTGTCTGCAGGCTGAATGTTCCGTTAAAGGCTCTTGATCGTCCAATCTTATCCTAAATGTACATAATAGTGTGCATTTATGCAGTGGTCTTAACATGGATAAAGTGTTCACTTGACATGGCAATTCATTATTGCCATATAATACAGATAAAGTATAATGACAACTCTCAGACTTGTTTGTGAATAAACAAAAAATAGAGAAGTTGGGTTTATTTTTATTTTTATTTGTTTTTCCACGACTACGTCATGTCTTGACGGTTTTCATTAAAACACAATCACAGGTTCACAAAAGTTAGGTAAATTACAGTTAAGAGAGTAATTATAAACACTTCAAAAACACAGTCAAGAGTAACTTGTCCTTAAATGAACCAAATACTAACGGAATTGTCTTTATAAAATCTACTAGAAATCTATTTTCAATATACTATTAATTTGTAATGTTTTTTCCGCTTTGTCATTACAAGATAGTTTGCTGTAGACAAACATGAATGTTTAAACAGCAATACTGGTGACTCAAAATAGCTGCACATTAATGATATACAATATAAAATAAAATACTCATGAATACTTGACAAGTGTCTGTTCACTTGAAAATTGTGGAAGTGTTAAACAAAATTCACACCACTACTTAGTAAAGTTATAATACTTAACTATTTCCATGTAACAATAGGTAAGGTTTAAGAGGTCCAAGTTGTACTAAGCTAGTTTACAGTGGTGCTCGAGGGATGCTGTGCACTCCTTTTCACCCAACTTACCCCATATTCAAATATACATTGCACCCTGTTTTTGTATTCTTTATTATGGATCAGGAAAGCTTCTTAAGGCAAGAACCACAGCACATTTAAAGAACTTGAACAATATGTTTTCTTCCCTTTCAGAACAGGGGTTTCAAACTTGTTTAGCTTTTTCTTGACAATGTCAAATACTTCCTACAGTACCAACAGTATTTCTGTAACATAGATAATACAATGCCTTTACATTGTAAAAGTTGTGAGGCATTTTATGTTGTTATTAGTCATTTTCACATAAATTCTTTGCCAGTAGATAATACCATTATGCAGACATTTGGCCACAGAGTATGTCATGAAGATACTCAGAAACTTAGTGTAACACATAATCATGGGGCGTTTACTGCACCACTTTGGGCCCCTTCTGCATTAACAAGTGTTTGGTTATTGTTTTTAGGGCAGGCTGTGTTAAAAGTGTCGGCCACCAGGGGGCCCTGGCCACCTCTGGCCTCTGCCAGGTGGGCGGTGAGGAGGAGGAGAGACTGGTCCATTGTGGTAGCTGTGTAAAAGGATAAAATCACACATTGGATTCTTGGCTTTGGCCAATAAGGGCACACTCTGATAAGAGCAGCCATCTGAACTAATCCAGTCAGGGGTGTGATCCCCTCTGTTACTGTGTACCTTTCAAAGGCTAAATACAATGTCATGTATTTACAGTACTTCGTGCACTATTTAAGGCTTCAAATAGTTGCAGTGCTGAGAATTGTAATTATGAGAGAATAATGTAAACCCTAAAGTGAAAGCTATAGTGAGGTATAAGAGGAAAGAGACAGAAAGGACTGTACATTGTATACAACCCCTCGCTGTTTAGTGCATATCACAAAATTAAAGAATATAACTAGTGTAGGCTTGTCTCAAATCTCACCGGATGTTATTTTGAGGAATCTTAAAAGTGTGCAAGGAAAGTGCAGAGAACTGTGACTTACAAAGCTTAAGCGTGGTTATAATATTAAAACAGCTCTTACCCTCTTGGGCCTCGGGGGTGAAAGTGGCGTGGAGGTCCAGGGGGGGGCATGCCGCAGCCTCGAGGGTGTGGAGGAGGCCCTCTGAAAGCAGGGTGACCTGGAGGAGGGGGGGGACGGGGTCCGTGCCTACAGACAGCAAAACAAAAAACGTTGTATGTTTTCAATCAGAGGAAACCAGAGGCCTGTACTACGAAGCTGGATTTTCGCTTAGCCGGCTAAATTCAGGGAAATCTCGGGCTTTCCGGTCCTACGACGCTGGTTCTCTTTTTAGCAGGCTAGATTTCCATGGTAACTTATGCCGAGCGGCAAACCTGCTCCGGAGCAGGTTAGGTGGCAGGCTAAGAGATCAACTCAGTGAAAGCACCGCCTGCTGACCAATCAGAGCTCCGTGTGCGGAGTTTAAAGCCATCAATTCATATTACAGGATAGAGGAAATACAGAAAAACTGCCGTTGCAGGAAAGACAGCCGGCCAAAATCAACTGACTGTGTGAACGTGAAAATTAATACAATATCCCCTCCCATCTTCAGAGCAATCTGACTATTATAATATTAGCGTTAAGAAAGCTTACTTAAATATCTGCCACGACATAAGTAACCGGATCAGAGTAACATTAAGTACAGTCCGCGGCACTGTGAGTGCAGACGTCGATGTGTGCCATTATCATTCATATCATATCACATCATAATGTATCATATATTTCCTTATCTGAGTCAGCTTCTTGAGCCGTATCTGGCTGTGCAACACTCACAGTGTCACATACTGTATGCAGAAGTATTATTTTAAGCAACACATTAAATTGACGAAACACTCGAGTCAAATTCTCCTAATTAAAGTCAGATCCACTCGTGTCTTGGACGGGGCAGTGATTTCATAAACCTGTTAATGTACGCATTCAAACACTTTTTCTTTTACCAGCTGTATTCATCTTGCAGGTGCAGCTATGTGGCTTTTATCCTGGATAAAGTGTTTAAGACATGGATGTTTAAAGTTTAACTTCTTCATATTTGACTAATATTAAAGTTCACTTTTCATTCAGGAAGTATGACGCTGCGCTGTCAGTACGGTTGTCCGTGTTTGAGATTGGTCGAATGCTCCAAATACCACCCCTTTCATGTGAACGCGCACCTAACTAGATAGGACACTGCTGGCTTGAGCGATCCACTTGATAACCGGCGTCGTAGTACAGCTTAGCGCCAGCGCGTATGTTTTGGCTTAGGCCAACCGGCTAACTCCAACATATCCAGGTTAAGTTGAACCAGCTTCGTAGTACAGGCCTCTGATGTAAGGATACACACGAGCAAAAGTGAGTGACAACCAACAAACCAATAGGAACCAAAGAAGATAAGATAGACTGCTCCAAAAAAATGGATGTTTGAAATGTATATAACTTACTATACGGTAGCTATAAAAACTAGACAGTTTGGTCACATGTTTTTAGAATCAGGAGGATCGTTCTTTAATCTTAGACAAGCAACTCTGTGAATGTGATTGTGCGTGAGCCGGTTACCTGTGCATGGGTGGAAAAGGGCCTCTGAGGTGCATGGGAGGGGGAGGAGGAGGAGGGCCCATGCCCATTGGTCCACCCCTACCTCGGTGACCTCTCATGTCTGGGTAAGGACGCATCCTCCTCATTCCTCTGAGAGGGAAGAACAGGAAATGCAACTTATTCATAACATGGCATTTTTTATACAGCAAATCTCTAGGGTGATTATGGTGATTCCCTTATATCATTTATAACCACACAACTCAAAAGCAACTTTCTGAATGAATACCACCTAGTATATTTCAATGTTTGTACCTCATGGGTGCAAATCCGTTCATGGCTCCTTCTCTCCCTCGACCTCTCCCGTATCCAGGTGGACCAAACCCTTTTATCATGCCCCGCCCACCACGCATGCCGCCTCGACTCATCAGACCCCCTTGACCGCGGCTTCTAAACCCACGACCCCTGAGGAGATTAAAACAAATTTGAGGAAAAAATGGCCACCCTGCAACAAGTGTGCAAGTCTTGTTATGATCACCGCAAATCGGGCAAAATCAGAAAGTATTCAGGTAAATTAAAGCTTCTCATAATCATGTAATGCAACAGTTCACCATTATGTATCCATAAATACAGTATGAGGCTGTGAGGAAACACGAGACTTACCTAAATGTGTTGTCCACTAAGGTTTTCTGAGGTTCATCCTTGGAAATCCTTGAAGTTTCGGTCACATTTTCTTCTGTGTCTGCGTCCATCTGAAATGATGCAAGTCAATATTTATATACAGTACACTGTCACTCTTATAAGATTATTAATTAATAAAAACGTTCTTATATATAAAAAAACATATCCAACTCCTCTATAGACAAGAAAATTATTTCTACATTCAAAATGCAATTTCATGTTTTACACTTGTGTTACAAAGCGATAGCCATTTACTGCCTTTTGCTCTCTCTTGCAATGTTGTATGAGATAATTCTTGATAAGACTTCTCCCTGACAAAAAATACTTTGAGGCATGTGTTTCTACATTGTGACACAAGGCTGTAAAACGTCACTCAGCAGATCTTGGAAATAGGAAACCTCTGTATTGCATTCCCTGCATTGCTCCATCATCGAGTGTGACACGCTGTGCATGCCTCACACTGAAGCAGGTGACAAGTTTTTAGGTAAAACACGGACATAGTCAAAGCCGATAGCGGGAAAAGTATTAATAGTCCCAAAGCCCAGATCGCTAGTATAAAAAAAATACAAAATCTGTGAGGCTTCTAGACAGTGGAGTTGGGTTAGACTTTTGAAAAATATAGGGGAAAGGTACGGTAAGGAGTGAGGTTGCTGTGCAGGGAAATTGCCTCTTAAAATATCTGGGGAATTTGCATTTTAGGAGTGACTTTCAAAATATGCCCTGAAGGAGAAACCGCCCCAGAAGAAAAAAAAACAGAAAAGCTGTTACTTGTTTTTCTACCTGTGTGTTTGATACTTTGGTTGAAGATCAAGCAAACAACAAAAGCTTAACATGTGCACAATACTCCCTAAAAATACACTTATTCTAAATAAACTCCATAAAAAGGTATGATGAGGTCACCATGAGCAAAGAAGTATTTGCAAGTCTAAAAACATTAACATTTTGGATCATTTATTATTTTTCACAAACTCTGGCTTATACAATCTTTCAGTTTTTCATTTTGTAAGCTGTTTATGGTGTTGTTGAATTGTGGTGTGCTTAATTGTGTTCGTCCCATTTATTTCAATGAGGTTGGAAATCCCTTGATACCCTTCTATCCTCAACTATATCTATGTGGAAATCTATTTACACATATATCTATATAGACACTTGTGGAGCAGTTATTCCTTCAAATTAACTGCCTTTAATTCATATAAGCCTCAGAGACAGAAACTATGTCATGCAGGCTGTCACACACACATACTCTATCACAGTGTTATTTTTAAGTAAATAAGCCTGCAGAGCTACAGGGCACGTCGAGCGTCATGGAAACATTGTTATCCTGATCCTAGAGACGGTTAGAGCTGTTTCATTTTAAGCTAGGACAATCAGAGGGGCACTGTTCAACAAATACACTTAAAGTCTCTAATAATGCTCCTTAATACTGTGCAGCATACAGGAGCTAATGTCGAACACATGTGGTTAAATTATAACGCAAAGGGCTTGGAGGGCCCTGTCTAATTCCTGGAATAAACAACGCAGAGACGACCTGACACACAGTATACTGTGTCCAAAACTGTGTATTTGTTATACATAATATTCGACTAGATATCTCACATTTGCACAGCTATTTTCTTAGAAATAAAATACAACTAAAAAGGCCGAATAACAAGATTGTACCTAAACGTTATTCGTTAAATAAAAGGGGCGTTTCTGTGGTTTTCAAACGCTTTGGTGAAACACAGAGATGGGACTTACTTCAGTTGGTGATGCAGGCGAGGTAGATTCAAAAACTAAACCAACTTCCCTAGTAGCTAGTAAAAATATATATATATTAGAAAAATAAAAACATTTACAACATTTCCTGCAGCTTCTGTGGCTCCTTAGCGTTTTGTAATGGCGAGTTCGTCAGGCTTTACTTCATCCCAGGTTGGATTTCTTTGAACACATTAGGTGGATGGTCACGCCCACTTGGAGGAATACTGGTGTCTGATTGGCTACTTGTTGCTCTCAGTCAGCCTGTTTTGGATATTTCGGCCTTCTGATTGGAGGAATTGGCTGACGTGTATTCTAATTGTACCACTCATCCTGAAGTTAATTAACTGGGCCAAGTTCAAAACATAGGCTATTTATCGTAGTTGTAACAATTTATGACCGAAAACTATTTTTTTTTTTTTATAAATTCTTTGCCAATGCACAAATCTCAAGACGTTTTCTAAATAAGTTAAACCGTTTTGCTGAAAAGTGAGTATTTCTTAAGATAGTCCTACTATGTTAAGTCTTTGGTCACATGGGCACAATCAGTATGTGGTATCTATAAACTCATAACAATTTGATTATCAATATCAATTAAATATTTTAAATGACAAGGTCCTGCTGTTAATTACAAATGCAAGATTTTAGATCAATCAGAACCAATGTTGTGCTATTTCACATTTTTCATTAAGTCTCTTGGCACATGGGTTAGGGTAAATACCTGTCTGGGTACGCAACCTGGAATTGACACATCGTTTATCTAATGGATGTGTTTAACAGTGTATTAACAGGCCTGATATATTGTATAGTAAGGAAAATAATAGACATTTTAACTCGTCAGTTACAAAAAAACAAAGACAGGACTAATTATTATATAGCTTTCAGACACAACTTTAATATAGGCTATTATGAAGCGACTTAAACTTTAACACAAACAGCAACAACATATAACAAATATGATGAGGTTTCACTAAGTTCTCTGCTACACAAACAAGGTAGGCCTAATAGGAGAAAACCTTCATCTGTAAAGCTACATTTCATACCAAGGGGAAAACATATACACATAGAAACAAACAGCAAACTATATTTCCAAACATTTAATTCACAACTCCAACAAAGGCAGCCTCATATACAAAGTAATGGTCAAGTGCCCAATAAACAATATTTACATCACGAGAAGGGCGAACAAGAGAACAATTTAATTAAATCAAATGTTAAAGTTAACTTAAAAATGTTGTGTTACTCATCGAATATATAAAACTAACTCCATTAAATGTCCAGGTCAGAGTAAAACCTTATGCGTAAAAAGTAAATTTGCGTCCGTTACGCGCGGCCCAGGATGTCTGAAAGCTTGTTGATGTATTCAATAGTGTATTTGAGGGTCTGTATCTTGGTCAGGGGTTGGCCTGTCTGACTGTAGTCCGGCGGCAGGTAGTCTCGGAGGTGGTGCAGAGCCTCTGCAAGACTCCTCATCCGCATCTTCTCCCTCTCGCTGGCCTTCACGCGTCTCTTGGTGGACATCTTGGGCTTGCCCTGCCTCTGTGCTTTGGAAGAGGCCCTGCGCTCCGGGAATCCGTAAGGGAAGTCCTTCATCTCCTGACTGCCGCTGGAGAAGCACATCTCCGGGGAAGAGCACATGGAGTCTATGGAGGACTCCGGGGAAGTGGACTGAAGTGAGTCATGATCTTCTCCAAACGCACCCTCATGGCTCTTCCACTCAGACAGCATTTTAGCTGTGACAACATCCATGTCCATGTTAGAAATATCCTTCCCGACAGTCGTGCAGCGAGGATGACATCAGGGGTGAATGACAGGTTCTGTGAAGGAGATTTTTCTGCAAGGAGTTTTTATATAGAAGCAGATCTCCGGAGCTTTATGGGTTCACAGCTCAGGCGAAAAAAAGTTCAAAGAAAACCCCAAGTGCCAAAATGCGACCTTCCCGAAGGTTCGTTATCACTGGGGTGTGAATAAGGCTAAATAGACGGATAATGTGATGGAAAGAAAAATAATTAGATTTCCTTGTGTGTGAATTTACTCTTTAAAGTCTTCACGACGACAATTATCAGTTTGATGTGATTTGTCTAATGAAGGATTGAGAGGATGCTGTTTCACCTGAGAGCTTCACACCTCTCCGGCAAGTCAGGCCTGCGTGTGTCTTCAGTCTGGAAGTGAAGCAGTCAAAACAAACAACACTATTTTTAACTTACCAAGACAGCCTTACAGAGAATTTTTTTGGAGATACATCTTGTATCTTGTGTTATTTGTATAAATCAAGACCCCGGATATGTAATTAGGTATCATTTGTTTATATATAATTTGTAAGTCAATAATATTTTTGTTTATCAATTTAATACTGGTTAATTTTATACAGTGTCATAATTCTCATGTTTCATTTCATTATTATTATTTTTTGTTCGAAATCAAATCAATCCTGTTTTCTTTTCTCTCAAGAAATGTTCCCTGTGAGGGATTAATAAAGTATGTCTTCTTCTTTTAATGCACATATATTTACTTGCCACCGGGAGAAGGTCAATTGTTTCAAAGGCAGTTTACCTGTTTCAATGTCAGAAAGTGCCAATTGTTAATATCATTCACAAACAAATTACACATCTGAACAAACTTTTACTTTACAAATGAGATCTGCATTGGAACACAAGCTGAGAAACTGTCAGGAATAACAGGATTTAAGACCAAGTACTTGCTCTGAGTTGTTATTTGGGCAGAGGATGCAGCTGTCACCAAGCTCCTGCCAGACCTTTCATGTCTGAAAAGGTGTGTAAGGCCTCACTCATGATCAAGGGGAGCGACACTGGCAGGTTGTAAAACCAATGGCTCAGCGTCCTCTGTGCCTCCTCTCTAGCTGTGCGTAGTGACATGTAGCTTGTCAAACAGCAGCAGGAGAAAATAAGCACATGTGGTGCCGTTACATGGTATTACATTCTGAAAGCAGTGCTAATCCACAACCTTTTTACTTCTGATTTACATGAACTGTTACTCTCAGGATCAGAGGAGCAGGCCGGTAAGAGCAATGACAACTTTGAACTTAATTGGAACAAATATTTATGTGAACAATTGTCTTTGTTCATTGGCATAATCAGTCAACGTTTTTAATCTCACAACATATATTTCATAAAAGAATCTTCACAATAACATAATTTTCATCAAAAGGCCTGTCGGTTCAACAGTCCGAAATCCATAGATATTCAATGTATTATTATTTTAAGACAACGAAAAGCTCATTTGAGAATTTGGATCCACCAAAAGTTTGATTTATTCGCCTTTAAAATCAATAACAATTTTTCGAAAATCAAAAGAGTTGCTGAATTATTTTCCATCAATTGACTGATTTTTGCATCTCTTCTGTGAAAAGATAGAACGTGGGCATAAGAGTTGTAAATCAACCTCCATTCAAATGTTCCAAGGTTAATTTTTCAAACTTGAAACCTAAAATCTCACATGTCCATCATCCTGTATTCGTGCTGCTCACTTCATGAATTTCAGTCTCAGTCTCTCTGCCAGTGGCAGTGGACTCTCAACACAAATAATGGAGTCATCACTGTCCAACACGACGGCTGGTGATCCCGGGGTCTGAGGAAACACACCACCATCAACGTGAGCTGGTGGGACATCTTGAGATTTGCTTTGAGTAGCTACAGGTCTGCTTTTTAATTCAATGTCTGCACTGCAGCTCTGAGCCTTTGGCTGTAAAGACTGAACAATGGTAGGAGCTGTTTTAGCTGTCGGTTTGGTTGTTTTAGGTTTCAGTGGGATGGCAGACAGGAAGTTGCCCTTCATCTTGTTCGTGTGCTTGCTGTAAGCTTTTCTTTGTGGTCCTGTCTGCTTGTTCTCTGCATCACTTTCCTCGCTGGACAAACACACACTCATGCACACACTCTTCTTGGTGCTGTGCAATGCGTTCCTGTCACTCTTAACGGGGTCAGAGTTGCACCTCTGTGGGGCCAGTGTGGATGATGAAATGGCTTTCCGGACAAATTTATATTTCTGAGGAGGCTTTTGGGGGCCGTTGTCCTTTGTCTTACTTTGTACTATAGGCGTCAACCGCGGTTGTGAACTGTGAGTTTCTGCCTTATTTGTTGCACTCTGCTTTTGTTCAGTGAGTGGTTCCTTTCTGTTTACAGCAGATTCTTTCCCTAGCAATGCAATGCCACTGCTACCTTTATCGGGGATCTGTCCATTTGGTTTTGGGTGTGAGTTATGAGAAGACATTTTTTTGAGAGAGGTCAACTCATAGTTAAGCTGTTTTGAGATCTCATCATTGTGTTTCTCCTTCAGGTCCATAGCTCTTGCTGTGTTCTTCATGAGCAGCCTGTCCCTCAAAGGACACTCTGTGAAGCACACCTCAGATCTGGAGTCTGCTCTTACGACGTCATTTGAGATTTTCAGCTCAATCTTTTCATCAAAAACATCACTGTCTGTGGTTTCCCTCAGTTTGGGCTCAGTGGTGTGGTTAATAGTAGATTGTGGAGTTGGGGAAGACGTGAAAGACAAAGCCTCCCAGTCTATATCACTCAGATGCAGCGCGTCGATAGCATCAGAGACGGATGGAGAAGCAGCAGCTTCACTTCCTGCATGAGACAGAGGAGTTTGGGGGCAATCGCCCAAACTGCTGTGCTCCTCTTTTGACTTCTGACGCTGTTTATGGTTCACTGGAGTGTCCAAAACCACCACTTCTAGGTCATCTGGGTTTGAAGCAGGCAGCTTTTGTGGTTCAGTGTTGGAGGAAGTCTGGATGGTCATCTGGGCCAAGAGGTCAGAAATACCATCAGAAACATCAGATGGCTTCTCCTTTTTACTCTTTGGTTTTTTCTCTGCAGAAGAAGATTGAGACCAGATGTCAGTGTTATACGACTGAAGGATTTCAAATTGCATTTAGAATTAGTTAGCGTCTACTGTGAACCAGGGTTATTATTATTATAAACGTAAGCTGAAAAGAAATCGAAAAAAGTCTATAGACTTGTAGAAATAACAAGAACATGATTTAAGTAATGTATTCGGTAACTTTTAGCCAAGCTATTCAAAATCAGTTCTGATGTTAACCAACAATGTCAGGATGAAATTGTAGGTGAGTTTTTCTGACAGTGGTAGTAAAATAACTCTGGTTCCAAATTAAAAAAATTAAAGAAATGATGGCTATGTCTACACAGTTCTTCAACCATTTATTGTGTATCTATATGAAGCTTTATACTTATAAGACAGTATACCAGGCCCTACAAAAACAAACTAAAACTAAATACAAAAAGTTAAACAAAAACTAGCAAACATACTCTGAAAACACAAATTATTCCAAAATAAAATATAAAACTAGTTGAAAATTCAGAACTTTTATAACCTTGCTGTAAACATATTCACTCTGGATGTATTGACAGAAAGCTCTTTGAATATCAGCGGATAGTTTTTCTACACATTAGGAAGTGAAGCTCTGCAGCAGTTAGGACTAGGAGGGGGGGGGGGGGCACAGTATAACCAGCATAAAGTGACAGCGCAGCCTGTGAGACAGACACCTCTGGCTGCATCAAAGCCTCTGGTGTGAACCGGTGAGCTGCCAAACTCTTCAGGTGTCAGAGCTGCTGCAATAGACTTTCAAAACAAGTGGAAGCTCCAGGTGTCTTTGATCAGGAGCTTGTCAAGTCTGTGGGGGGGGCTCCCTACTTTCTCATGAAAAGTTTAACTAGACTAACTGTCAGATATGGTTATTGTAGGAAAAAATTCACAGGAAAACGTATTTTTCTTAAATGGTGGGTGGATATTATAAATGATTTCCTTACTCTTGGTCTTGTTCTCTTCAGCCAGAGCTTTGTCTCTCAGGTAGCTCTCCACCACCTCTGGGAAGGCCACACGGAAGAGAGACTCTTCCTCCACCGTCCTCACCTCGTGCTGATCCTCCGCGGGACGATCCTCAGGAAACACGTAATGTTCTGCAGAAAAAAAAACAAGGTCAGGTCCAAATAGCTCTCTATAAGACTAGTCTTGCACTTTTAAGTCAAAAGTGAAACCCTCAAATGTCAACAAAACAAAAACTAACATTTTAACTAATATTCCATTTACTTGAATGTTAGAAAAAGGTTAATAAAGGTTCAGGTAAAGGTAAGATAATGGGTATACAAGAGTTTTTTAATACAGTATAGCAAATACAGCCACATGTTTTTATATAAATGGCAACAATATTAAAACATTTCAGGTTTTTTTTTTTGTAAATTACTTGAGGGATTTTGCAACATATAAGAAACACTTAATATATAAGTGTTAGAATTATGAGTATGAGTGCAGTGATATTATTATTTATTTTACTTTTTAGATAAAATGTTCTCTAAATGTATATGCATCACAAATAAACCTACATTTTCCCCCAATTCAGCTAAATGTGCCTGTGTGGACTCGTGACAGGATAAGCGGGGATATTGAACCAGCGGACTGCAGTTCACACCAACAGTCATTTAACTGCAAGTCACTTTTTAAATCAATGATTTCAGATATGTCTAATTTAGAATATCCAGCGATTTATGGTATTTATACGCATAATGTACTTATCGGTTTTCTGAGAAATACTTCTTTTAAATGACAGAGGGTACCACATTCTGAATGAATTTATAGGCTGATCTTGTTAGTGACGTGGACTTTGATATGACACATTTCCTAGCCTGGGAAGGAAGCCCGTTTAGCACCTCGTGGCCTTGCGAGTGATCTGCCACCTCTGAACCCAACCTCACAGCAAGGCACTAACAGACGACCCGGGGACGAGCCCCTCGCTGCCCAACCTCCACCTCGCGCTGCAGCAGTCCCATCACTCAGCCCAGAGGATGTTTTCTTAACTAAATGTCGCTTTTCTTCTCACATTTGTAATATAACAAATTAAAGCATGCAAGGAATAAGAATATAACTCACCTGGTGTTCTCCAGACGATCTCAAAGCAAGCGACGGCATTCCTCACCCTTGGTTTAAAAATTCTGTTGTTTAAAAAAGAAGTTGTGGATTATGCATGTGCTGAATAACCTTTTATTATGACAATGCCACTAAAGCTACATATTTGTTTTTGTTAAATAAATTGAAATTGAACGTAGGTCTACCTGAGGGGCTTGATTTGGGAAGACATTTCTCTTCCATATTTTCTGTTCATCAACTCTGAGTAGGTCATCAAGACTAACGCCTTTTCACTGGTGTAGTGCTTCGGCCACTCCATCTTGTCATAGGCAAATTTCTGGAGAAAAAAAACTCACTTAAACATGCAACTCACTTAAAAGAGATACAAATGTTAACGCGTTATTAAAACCAACCTGTATCAGCATCAGGTTTGGCTGTCTCCTCTTGAACTGTGACACAGGCTTGTCCTTGGAAATCAGGAACTCTTTAATGATCTGCAAAATGTTATTCAAGTATTAAAAAACAAACTATATACTGTTAATTATGATACTACTGTGAAAAATGGCTGTACCTCTGTAAAAGGGAACAGTTGGCTTGCCAGTGTTTTCCTAAAAAATAAATAAAATACAAAATGAAAAGGTTACACACAACATGGAAGCAAATCATTCTTTAAAAAACACCCATTACAACTTTCCAAAGTCGGAGTCTTGTTTTGTCCAACCAAAACCCAAGAGATAAAGCTCACTCATTAAATAATAACAAAATATTATTTTTTTTGTTTCTGCAAACACATATCTTTTGCCATTTTGACTTCTTGATAAATAGGAATATAGCTAAATGCTTGCCGATTATATTTCTGATGATAAACAAATTATAACTAATCAATGCTTTTGGAGCATTAAGAGCTATTCCACATCCTAAGATTAAGGATGGTTATTGACTAAAAAGCTGCTAGTCTTGATCTTCATTTTAGTAAATGGGATCCACTGTCCTGCATGCAATTCTTTAAAGAAAAGTCACATACTTCCTGATGTTTGCCTCAAGAGACACGGCCTGCCGGGTCTCTTCGAAGCGGTGCCAGTCACAGGGACACTGGTAGTCAAAGTCCTGAGGCTGACAGAAATGTTTACTATCACAAAGCACACAGCCTTTACGTTCATGTGCCTTCGCTGAGCCTGGAAAAGGAAGATACATCTGAATTAAAACTTGATCAAATACAAAAGTAGGAGAAGACGACAACAACTTGAAAATCTAACACACTACTACAACTTCTGTAAAGTCAGAAGCATATTCAGAGCAACCCATCTCTCACATACGTGTATGTTTTAACATGACAGGTTTAATGGCTTTTAAAGTGTGAGACATGTCCTGTCAGGGACAACCACCCCTGATCTTTCCACCTCTTATCAGCATCGCAAACTGGGGTCAGAGTTGAAAGTGGGGCACCACTCACCAGGATGTCGACAGAGGTGGCAGTGGGGAACCTTCTTTAAAACTCCCTCAGACACACCCGCATTGTCCTCCTTCCACTGGGTGAACCTGGGGGAGATCAGAGAAAGGTTATCAGTAAGGATAAGAATGCTTATCTGCAATCAAAAGTCAGAAAACTAGATACAACAGCTGTCATGCCAAATTGGGCCAGGGTAGTAAAGTAGGGTGGGCCCATTTCTTACTTCCTACACTCTTCTTCCTGCGCCCTTGCTCAGACCACATTCATTTTTAAACTAAGCTTTCATTTAGATCTCAACATCACACCTGTAAGATTTGTGACTGCATCTTGTACAGTTGGGCACTATCACTGTGATATAAAAATATGAGCTTTTAATAATCTGTGTTTCCCACCTCTGCAGAATAGTTTGTCCTTTCAGCATCTGGATAAGCTTCAGTGATTGCTCTCTTCCAACACCTGGTATGCCCTTTATGAATAATGACAATGTATAGTGAACATATCTTCAGATTGGTGATTTTGATAGTGGAAATTTACAGTAACATGTTCTCCCTACCTTAGGAATATAATCGCAGCCAAGAAAGACGGCCAGACCAACCAGATTCTCTCTGGAGATATTTAAGTCTGTGTGTACTCTGGAGGTCTTGTAACAGTCCACCTGAGGGTCCTGGAAGGGAAGGTGAGAAACAGTATTATGCATATTTAATTGCATCATTAGAGTAAAATACAGTATTGATACATGGGAAACAAAAACGCAAAAATACTGGCTAGTTAAAATACAAGTTGTAGGTCTGCAGCAAAAGTCAATTTCAATACTGATTAATGTTTAAATGCTTAATGAATTCAACAAGTAACCACAACATTATGTAACAATTTAACCTTCGAACAACAGCTTCAATATCCTTTGCAAAGTAGCTGTGTACAATTAAAATGTAAGTAAGTATGAGGTTATGGTCCTCCAGATGTAACACACTGCAGATGATGGAGATTAACTTTAACAAACATACTTTACTGTTCAAATTAAAGTTCCTGTAGACAGTCCGGGCTCCATACAAGAAGGCGTCTCCATCATTAGTGATGCAGCCGTCCACCAGGCCCTCTGAGTCCAGGTAGGCACACATGGCCTCAGCCTCGCCTGCAGCCGTCACCCAGGGCACACCCAAATAGTCCAACATGGCTGCACACTGCAAGTGTTAGAGAATGATAAAATCACATATAAACTACATTTATTTATCAAAAGTGATTATGATTAAGATGTGAGTGGAGGAACAACCAACCTCTCTGAGTACAGCATTAAAGCGCCCTCTGCTGGTGTTAGATGTAGTCTTAGGGGCAGAAGCCTTTTTCAATCCTCCAAATCTCTGTTCTGTCCTCTTGCTCATCGTTTCTGCTTTGATTTTAGGGGCTTCTCCTTCCATCACAAAGACAAGCTTTACCCCCATAAGCGTGAGAGATGACACCCTGAAAAATAAATTCCTGGACACAGAAGAAGAGACAAAAAAATTGTTTTTTAAATATAAGAATTAAAGCTAACGTTATAAGAATTTAAACTAGAACTAACTGGTTAGCTGGTGTTAGCCAGTCACACAGCCTTGATAGTTACTTGGCTGTGTTTTTAATGTTGTTGTGTGTTCCTTGCAGTGGTTTTATGTCACTTATGACATTGTTTTGCACCTCTTTGTAGCGTTTTTGTTGGTGCCTCTTTGTGTAATAGCCGTATATGTTAGGTAACTGACCGGATGACTTGGAGAGTAATGAAGGATCCGTTCTGTGCTTTAACTGCAGATGAAACTACTGCTATTGACTTAATGCACATCCAGCCATGGTAATAATAAGTGCATGCCTCAAGGCGTCTTATACATCCATGGTCAGCATCAACACAAACTGCATATCACTCCGCACCGACATCAGTAACCATCATATATGTGCGCGGCACTATACTACACTTTGTTGTCGTTTTCTTGAGTTTTTGTGGTCATTTTGAGTCTCTTCCTGGTTGGTACATTGTGACATTTTCTAGGCAAAAGCCAGAGGGGGGGGGGGTCCTGACACTTTGAGCCCCTGTAATCCACATATATGTGACACTTACCTCAGGTGGGGTTTGGTAACTCTCCCCATCATCGCTTGCACATGCTGGGCCTCGCACACCCATAAACTCAGGTCAACAGCCAGCGTTTTTCCGCTCAAACTGTACAGAGGCACAGACTCACGGACCGGCTCGACGATGGACCATAATTCGTGAACACCCATAACTACCAACACATTAGTTTATAGCTAATTTAATAGCAGGGTAAAGGTAGAACACGTAAATGTTAAACCACACAACACACGACTACAAAGACTCGGAGATTTCAAATAGTGGCGCCGTTGGGCCGCGTCCCAAACCGTTGAACATCCTTATATCACGCTGCCTTGTTGCTTTTTTAATTGTCACTACGTGAAAAAAAGTACATTCAACGTTTAAATTAAATATATATAATCAGCAGACGTTTTATGTAGTACGTATGTCATTCATTGTTTCAATGAACTCGATTATTTAGAAAACAAGGTGGAAAGAAAAGGAACAGTCTCACGAAGTCGAACAACGCCTTACTTTTTCAACACAAACGTCATATTCAAGCGCTTGTTGCTATGGATACGAGGCTTTTGTTTAGAGACCAGACTCAGGATTTTTTTTGACAGTTTTTATTTTAAACCATGGACTCTAAACTACAAATAGAAATGGTCGGCTTGATTAAAGATCGCAGTTTCCATGTTGCCAAAAGTATTGTCGAGGTAAAGCTTTTTATTTCTTACAGTTTTATGTAACATGTATTTCCCCTCAATTTTACACTTGTATCCTTTGACTATGAACAACAGGGACTAAAACAGAAGTTTCCTGAGAAGTTTCTGGATCCGAAAATTAAATCACTCCTTGAATTAGACTGGCACACATATCTGTGTCAAAAGAAAAGGGTAAGTCCTCTGATTATACGTTTGAAATGCAAATTAATCAAATTAACAGAAAAGTAGAACAATGCTCTACAATGATAGTAAAAGTGTAATGTAACCTAAAATTGAAATGGAAAAATACTTAAGTAAAGTAAAGTACAAGTACATGATTATTGTACAGCACTTGGGTAAATATACATGTTATCTTCCACCATTGTTGTAGATGAGCTGCAGCAGCTTGCTGAGGGTTGTGATGCCACAGCTAAACACACATACACAACACACAACTGCCGTAGTTTGACGTCATGGCTTTTCTGAAAAGCTGATTCACAACCACACATCTGTTGTTTAACACTTGTAATTCAAGGAGCTGCGTGGTGACGTGTGGCAGTACTCCAGCAGCCTGATGTGCTTTCTGAACGGCCTTCTCCTGGGTAATGAGAAGGACCTCACCCGCTGGGCCAAGAATGAGTGGAATTTTTCTTTCACTCGGCCACAGGCTTTCTATATGGCTCTCACTGAGGACAACTACAACAAACACCTTCGAAACACTGGGGCAAGTCAAAAACACAGTCACAAAAACATATATTTAAATAGGTTAGAACATTTATGAAAAGTTATGTTATGTGTACATGAAGTCATCTTTGAAAACCATTAGGCTTCAGTTATAGTCATTAGCTGCACTTATTAATGAAGAGTGCCCTGTCCAAATCATGTATTCATTATATTTGTTCAACCTTAAATCATCTAAATGAAAATAATAAATGTCTCTTTCCTTTGATTATAGCATCAGTTTGTCTTCATGGACATTGAGATAGCAGGAGAGGCAGTAGGGAGGTTATTGTTTGAGGTGAGGCAAAAATGTATGTTGTTTCACATTGCTTATACAAAACGCCTGTGTCATCTTAAATCCCTGACTTTTGTATATTGTAATATTCTTTAAATGGTTGGTATACAAAACTAAATGACATCACAGAATGGCAGCATGTTTTACGAGGTGCATTGTCCTCCCTCTCCTCAGCTGTTCTCAGATATTTGTCCAAAGACATCAAAGAACTTCGAGGCTCTGTGCACAGGAGAGCAAGGCGGATCAGAAAGTGGCCTCCCACTTTGCTACAAGGGTTCCCTGTTTCATCGTGTGGTGCCAAACGGCTGGGTGCAAGGTGGAGGTACGGTCCACATTATCAATGTCACAATTTTAAATAAGATACGATAAGATTGGAAATAACTGTATGATGTCACACCAGGAAATTCTGTTCTTACAGTAGCTTTAGAGTGAAAAAGCAAAGGGAAAAAGCAGTTAAAAAATATTGAAACAGGATAAAAACCAGACAATTAAAAATACAACATTATAATAGCTATTTATAAGCTACACCTTTCACATATCAAGACAGATATGAGGGTATAATAACAAGTAAAATAGAAATACATAATAATCCATCCAACTTCAATATCAGGGCAGTTAATTTGGCATACATGCCACTTTAAATGGAAAATATATCAATAAATTATTAGTATATGAACTGGAATTGAACTTCCTGGATTGTGTTCATGTTCATAATGATTATTTTTTTTCTGCTTGAAAAGGCTTTATTATATTTGGGTCACATGATTTTTAAACTTATCTGACTCTATTTACTGGAAGTGAAATTATCTGTGAACTCCTGTAACTTCCTTCAATACTCATTACATAGCCCAGCCCTTGCTTACACAAATACCAGCACCTGAAGTTGTTAGGAAATCATGTAAAATTGAGGAAGTGGTCTTTGTACAAATGTCTTTGGTCTATTCACATAGAAGCTGTATCTTTATATCACGTAGATATTAATCCAGTGAGGAAAGGTGATGGAGGGGAGTCAATCTATGGACCAACGTTTGAAGGTAAAAACACCTACGGTATTACAATGAATGTGTGTGTTAGTGGATTTACTTGTACTGTATGAAAACTCAGCTGGACATGTGTCATCTTCTCCATTTAGATGAGAGCTTTTCTGTGTCCCATACTAAACGTGGCACTCTAGGAATGGCCAATAAGGGCCCCCACAGCAATGGATCCCAGTTTTACATCACCCTGCAGCCAACACCCTGGATGGACAGGACCTATGTTGCCTTTGGGTTTGTATCACACCTATTTTATTTCTCAGTCCTGCATAATCTCAATTCTGATTAGTTGGAGCCTAATGTCTTGGTTTTCTATTCTAGTCATGTGGTTGAGGGTGTCGACGTCCTGAGGAGATTAGAAGAAGCTGTGACCTGCAATGAAAGACCCAAATATGAATGTAAAGTTACAGACTGTGGAGTGTTTAAGTTTTAAGTCAAGTGCTTAAATGTTTTATCAATGTTATTCATGGTATAAAATAAACCTGAGATACATGTAACTTGCGACTTATGATTTTCTTACAGGTTGAATTACTAGTTACTTTATAAATTCAGATTTTGGCACACACAACTTTTAAAATATGATTATTTAGTGAAATCATCCAACATTATATAAGCGTCACTTTGTCAGAAAAAGTGGTGGGGACAATTTCTCCAGATTTAACATCAGCATAGCAGAAGACAAAATATGTCCCTCCCTCCCCTGGGTGTTGAACCTTGAGCACCTGCATGAAAAACCAATGCATAGACCTGGACCACCAATGTGTTTTTAAAATGCCCAACTGTAGGTCTTGCTGTCGTGTGATTTGTACTTTTATGCACACAACTAGCACACAGGTATGGAGGACAGAACATGACATAAGTAAAAAAATTAATAAATACAGGAATAAAAACAGGAATAAATACAGGAATAAAAACAGGAATAAAAACAGGAATAAATACAGGAATAAAAACAGGAATGACTACAGGAATAAATACAGGAATAAAAAAATACAAGAAAAAATAAATAAATATTGAAATAAATAAATGTATAAATAAAAAAACACACACTATATATCTTTAATGTATTTATACATTTATTTCCATTTCCATTTATATATTTATTAATTTCTTTGTCTGTTTAAACTGTAAAGCGTAAATAAACTTTGATTGATTTTGATCGATGATTTGGCGCAAGAAGTACACTTCACTTCAGAGCCCTCAAGAGTCAGATATAAATGTGTATTAGCGTCAACAATTGTGTTGCTATTAAAGGTTTTGCTTCTACCTAAAACTCAGTAGTGTGCATGTGTAGGAGCCAGGAATGTCAGAGATGGGATTTCTGATGTATGATTTATTGGGGTTTTTCTTTGTTTATTATATTATAACTTCTGCTTTTAAATATTAAAACATATTTAAATATTGCAATGAGTACTTTCACTCCTAATACTTTTAGTACATTATCTTAAACATACTTAAATAATTGTACTTAAGTACCATTCTTGATGCAGTACTTTTACCTGAAATTGAGTATAGGCCTACACAGTGTGGTTTTAGTACTTTTACTCAAGTAAATCATCGTAATACTTTTTCCACCACGGCCTAAACAGAGTGACAGCTGTTTGCTTAATGATAAGAAACTCCTCTCCTTCTTGCCTTTGACGTAGTTCTTCACATACGCTCGTTTTCTTGTATCACTCCTCCCAGCCAAAAGTGCCACATGACCTGTCAAGTAGGAAGTAGCGAGGCAGCGAGCAGCAAGCAACAGCAGTAGCGACCAGAAACGCAAGAAGACGGCAAGGAAGCTGTGAAATCTCTGGAGTCTCATTCTCAACGTTTTTCAGCACACATTTGTATCTTCTCGGAGTATAAAGAGGATTAAACCGGCCGCAGTCATGTACCTGAAGGTGGTGTTTTTCACTGTAGTCGTGGCTCTGATTGGCGCAGCAGCCGCAGGTAAGTTTGAGCTAAAAGGCTAACCAGCTCGATGAAGACATGCACCAGAAAACTGAAAGTCTGCATGCCTCCATTTCTGGTTATTACAGTGCACTATTAGATGTTTCAGCTCTGAGTTTGACAGCTGTCTCCCGTCCTTTCTTTATTTTCTTTCTAAAATTAAATGTACAAAATGATCCTTTTGGCAACTTGACAGTATAATGTCTACGCTCAAGTTGTCCAGCTAACGCTTTAGCCTGCTAGCAAGCTATAGACCCGACATTAAATGTAAAATGATGTTACAGTAATATTTCTCACATGATGTGCATGACAAGAGGAGCCATAGCAGATCTTCGTGTGTAACCCTTATTGTCAGATCCAGTTGATCAGGAGCCAGATCAGCTTGTTATGTAACATTTTGAATCTCTATTCTGTCACTTTTTAAAATTCAAACATTACATTTAAGATTAAAAGGTATTATTTTAATATGCACAGTAGCTACAGTGTAGTTATGGCAATGGAAATGTCAAGTCCCAGGCTCCTTCACCAATGCAACATAAATATAAGACATAAACAATAAAACAATACAAAATAGTGCAAGAAGAACCGAACAGAAATATATGTAAATATAATCAAATAGTGACCAATATACAGGTAAATGTGTGGGAAGTAAAATATAAATATGTCAAATAGACTAAGATTAAGAATGTAAAAATACTGTACGGATAAAATACTTCTTATTGTTGTAATAAATAAATATGTGAAATGCAGACAGATTAATAACAATGTAAAACCATGCTGTGTGTCTGTGCTAAAATGTGCGTTGTTATTGTGAGTGAGACATCTGGATAGCAACAGTATCATTTTCATCACCTGCAGGAAGTTATTAAAAATATACCTCAACTATATTTGATTTGTGACTTCTTCTTTTCAGATGACTGTCCCTCCCTGTCCTGTGCTCTGTGTGGAAGCAGTAGCAGTGAGTGCCAGTGGGTCAACTGCACAACAACACGTGAGTATCTGTCATACATGTGTGTGGGCTTGTGGAGGGAGAGGCACAGGTTTGTCTTTGTGTGTCCTAAGTGGTCCAGACAGCTGAACTGATTCGACACATGACTCCTACGGTATGGAGAGAATGATTGGCAGTGGATGCTGACTTTTAGATGATGTCATGCCAATTTCCCTATAGCCCAGGCTGTATCGTAATCATCTGGGAACACCAACAACACACTGGGCTGGTTTTAGAAGTACATTCCTGGCAGACAGCTCTTAAGGGGGAGGATCTAGTTAAGGCAACATTTGCATAGACACACTTTTAATCAGCACAATAACGTCAGTAGTAGCTAGTAGATGATTGAAATGGAAGGGGAGACAAATGTATAGGTAAAGGGAAAAGGGATTCATGCATCGCAATACTCTCTAGAAAGATTATGTCTCGATGCAGGATCAATAATCGGAATTTGAAACCCAATTCTCGTCCTCTCATGTTTCAATGATGTGAGACTAGACTGCTACTTTCCTTATAACTGAACTAATGCTATGGTGAAACATAAAGGATATAAACATGTGTCTCATATTTACATTCTGAGCTTAGGCTGCTTCTTGAGTTTCTTTAAGCTTTTATGCTATGAAGTGCTTCAGATGAATGCTGAAGTCTTCCCTTATTTACTAAAGTGGTTCTGCTACAGGAACACTTTTGTTTATCTTGTTGTTGGTGTGTTGCACTGCTAGGAATTATGTTGGCATATGTAACCTTTCAGTTGTTACTACCATTTAATAAATACAGATAATGCAAGAAAATTCAGTAGCCAGTTGTGATATAGGGCAAACAATATGTTTATGGATCAAAAGGTATGGATAACCGTTTGTTCACCGCGTCATAGCCCTTTGGATCAGCATTGAATCATGTGGTGCCTCGAGACTTTCACCACTGCAAAGCTAGATATATTTCTTTTAGACATTTTACATCTCACTTTGATTGTGCTTTTACCTTCTTTCGCCTTCGTCTCTGTATCACCGGTGCAGTAATGTCATTATGTTAATTCAAATGTCTAAACATGGGAGCCCATAGTATGAGAAATCTTTCTGACTTCTGCAGAGTTCAGGATGTGGAGAAATATGCTGCAGTGGTATTTTTTCAATCTCATTCGGAAGTCTGCTGTTTGTTATTTAGTAATATGCATCATTCATTAAAACAGAGTTTCCATATCAAAACCGCATGACAAGTTGTTTCCTAGATCAACCAACGGTTTTTCATTCACTGCAACTGCGTACTTCTCTTATGGGTTGAGTTTTTAGTATGAGAGGAGATGAGCTGGTTGTTTATTCGTGCAGTGTTAGGAAATCAGGTTAAGGGTGTTATAAGTAAAGCAGAAATCAGTCAAACAATCTTCTATATTAAAATCGAACGTTTGTCACGCTGATTCATTCACCAGATATTAATTAAATTGCGAGATAAACCCTTTGTGGTTATTGCTTGAGTTTTGTATTAAGTAAACGGGTAGACTTCTGACCAAAAGCTGAACCTTGCACGTACACTTTTTCTTTGTTTGTTATTGACTTTATCGGCCTTGAGGGCTGTTCTCTAATATTGGCCTGAGTTCAGTGTGTGTCAGCAGGCACACACAGGTCTCTGGTTATTGTGAAGAAGATGAACAGGAGAGGAAGGGAGAGGATGTGTGTCAGGAAGCCTGCAATATCCTCACGCTGGGGGACAGAAGGAAGGAGAGGATAATGGCCTCAGTTAGAGGAAAGAGTGTGCAGATAGGATAGAGATTAGTTTCATGTGCCTCGCTGTTCTCATAATTTATGCCTCGGGTGCAGTTCAGGACTGGAGTGCGCTGTGTTCTTGTCATACATTTCAGTTGTTATTAATCTCAAACAATAAGATACTCTGTCTGTTGTAACTTTGTATTACTTGTTGGTCCAGCTTTTCTCCAGCAACAGTTGATGTTAGTAAGGCAAGAACAAGTCATTTTACATCTCATGGGAGTTGACCTGTTAGACAACTTTGCCAATGAGTAGCTTTGATTCTCTCCAGGAGCGTTGGAGGATCCCACACCCTTCTTTTGTTTTGTCTCAAGTTGTATATGTCCCTCAATGACACTTTACCTAATAATGCAATAAGTGGTTGAACAGGACAGGTGAGGTCAGCACTATTGATATCCTCTCAGAGCCAACAGGGTCTGGGTAGTAAAGCCTGTTGTATTTCCCAAGTGAGAAACATGTACAGGTTTACAATTACACAAAACGGACACAAGAAAATAGCAAACAATCATGCCCTGATACAAAAAACAAAACGACAAGTGTATCAAGAGCTACATTTGTCTTGAGGTCATTTTCATAAGTTTTCATTTATTTTGTACGGAAGATTTGATTATCGTTTTTCCCCCTTGATCATCTGATGGTAATATAAACCAGAAAAGGACTCATTGTTAAAACTTAAAGAGAGGTTTGGCAGTTTTTCTCTTGTTCATGTTGGAAAATGTCTCTCTTCAGCGCTCTGTCACACACCAGAACAAATGGCCTACTACAAAAGCAGGCTCAACACTGTTTAACAACACTGACTGCTCCCAACACAAGTAAGCCAGAGCTAAAATCTTTCACAAACCCAAAAATGGATCGCCCTTTTTCATATGAACTCAGCAAAATGTGGAAAGGTCAGCTTTGTCCAGTCAAGATGGCTCTGCTGAAGCGCAGCATGACCACACTGCAGCAGCGAGCTTCCAGGTTGTCATTACCAGATTTATCTTGGCTTTAGGGAATTTGTGGACGTGCATTTCCCTGCAGTCCAGTGTTTAAAAGCGTTACACGTGTACATGCTCTGTAGCGTCTCTAAGTACAGGCTGTCATTTGTGACAAAGCTGGTTGAGTGCTCTTAACAAGGAAGCTCTTTCTGAGGCTTTCACTCACACCTCTAGCTTGATCTAGTTATGACTGGACCTCGTGGTGAGGAAGACGTCACTATATCGAAAAAGGGTGAGAGTCGGTCTCACCTTTCACAGCTGCCTGCGAGATAACAGCGCTCTAACACACTGGAGATTGAAAACCCTCCTCCCACATGTCCTGACTTGCATAGATCGATGCGTCTATAAAATAATTCCGCCAACACTTTCGAAATGACTTGATCTTGATGTTACTTAATCACAGTTATGAAAGGCAGTGAGTCATTACGTTTCCAGCTTTGGTTAGTTTTGAGTTTAAGATATATGAAGAAGCTGACTTTTGTTGTCCTTACTTTACTTCCTGGTCAGTCAGGAGTCAGGACAGAAGTGCTTAATCATGTTAGGTAGCATTCTGGGAAACACAAGATGGAGGTACATAGAGAAACAGTGGAGGCAAGTTAGGGCACAGTGACAGTGATAGGAACCTGAAAGAATAGCCCCGAAAAAGACCCATCCTCAATAATTGAACCAAGAGACAAATTGACAAACTAATAGTTAAGACATGAAAGCCTTTTAATAGTAGCTTATTTCAAATGCTAGTGCCCACAGTAATTAACCTGATACAGAAAGAAGCTCTGGGAGCTGTGGAGAATGTAACGCAGGCTTCGAGTTATTTGGATAAAGCCAAAAGATGCTTTGAACAATGGCAGCAGCCTTACTGTAATTTATGGTCAGCCATCTGGCGGGAGTCGTCAGGTTGGATGGTTGCTGTGGATTATTGTATTACAAGCAAGGAAGGTGGAGCAACATGTTTTACAGCAGCAGGTGTCCCACATTTAGTACACAGTTCCCTTTATGATGTTCCTGTGTGCTCGTATAAGCAAATCAAGAGCCATTAGTCCCATTTCAATCCACACAAAGATGGGGTCAAAGGTCTTTAACAGACTCCCCTGTCACTGTAATAAACAGTTATTAAAGGCTTTATATGTTTCCCACTTCCCTATCACTTTAGACGTTTAGTTATTATCTTGTTCCTTGTTCCAAAAAGAGGACCGATACAAGTGATGGAAAATTGCGGCCATGCTTGATGTTTGTATACTGTTACTGTATTTTTATTACTGTAGCGATTTCCAGTAGGCTAGATCATCCTAAATAACAGATTCACACAGCTCAAGGTGAGAAAAAAAAAGAAGACATTTCAATCAAACTCAAAGATATTCAATGTACTGTCATGTTTGACAAATAAAAGCATCAAGTCATTACATTTAAGAACTAACAGTTTTGGCCTTTTTTTGTTGTTGCTTGAAACATAATTGTATAAATGTTAATAAGACAACTTATTCTTCTGTTGATGTATACATTGAAACAATAATTTAAGCTCTGATACATAATATATTTATTAGAATTCAAAAATGTCTGCTTTCTCTTAAACATGGTCTGAAAAACCCTGTGAGAAGTTTGGCAACAACTTATCCATTCACTTCTTGTATAACGCAATTTCTGATCAGAGGTTATGTGTGGTTGCCTGCGCTTAAGCACAACGGCAGTTTCACAACATCACTGGGCGTGAAAAGACTCATTTCACAAGGTGCTATCCGTCATGACTCATGGTTTCCTGTCTGTGACACGGGCTGAGTTAAACCATTAAGTTAAAGAAATGAAAACTAATTTAAATAAATGTTTTCGTAGTTTTTTTTCCAATTATGGAATATAATATTCGTTAATCATGTCTGTAAATAAGTACAATTGTGTTTCATAGGTAAAACAATAAGTAACTATGATGTTTCGTCTGTATCTTGTGTTCTTGTAAAGAATAGAGGACAGGCAAGGCTTCACAGCGGGGTCAAAGTCCCTTCTCTCATAGTTAATCAGTAATCTGATTTGAACAATTAAAGAGAATACACCCAGACATTCAAACTTTGAGACAAAAATAAAACAAATTATGTTTTCACTCTTTAATAGTACTGGAATAATAATAGTACATTTAATGAAGTTCTGCACATGAATGTGTTCAAATTAGATCACATTAAAATGCCTCTTCTCACATGTTTATACATCAGTGGCGAACCGTCAGGGCGTTCAAGGTATTCAGAGAATACCCTGGAACACTCGGATAAAACAAACAAAAAATCGATTTAATTATATAAATAAAATGTATATAAAATGAATAAATGAGAATCGTATCTTTGTTGTTGATCTGTAATATTACAGTGTTACGTTGATTTGTTTGTCCTTCTCGGACCATGCACTACGCTTTTCAGTGGTTTTGTGTTTGAAAAGAAAGCAACCAATCAGAACTTGTTCTGGGTCCCTGGGTAGAATATCCTTCAACCAAGGTATTCTATATCCTTGATAGAATGTCCTGGCCGTTGCACTGAATGAGAGCGTACATTTGGACTGACAGTTTGATCAACCAATCATATATTGATTTGTAGCCAATGGTCGTATTCTTTCAGAGTTTCCCTCGGTTCCAGGGTACTCTAGAACGCCCGGTAGTTCACTGGCTCGAGACAGAGGATCTAGATGAATGCGACGAAGCAATTCATGCCGTTTTATTGTTTTTAACGTTGAAATGGCAAGTGCAACAGGTGAAGATGAAGTTGTTGCGGAATTGTTGCGAGTACCCTTTTCAAGACGACAATTCAGCGAAAAGACGGACATTATAACGCGGGGGGTGTGTGTGTCTACAGAAGGTCCAGTTGTGATAGACACGGTTCGCCACTGTTATACATTAATACTATAGTAAAACTCTGACAGGGCCTCTTCTTGTTGCATAACAAGTCCTTGTAGTTGAATGCTTATATTATATTTATATTATATTATATATTTCTTCTGTACCTACGTGTACCGTTATATTTTCAGTACAGGACTTTTGAAGAAGCTTTTTTTTTCCATTATAGCATTGCCACTTTTAAGTATATTATCTGAATCCCTTTCCCACCCTTGGTTTGAAGTTACTTTCTTTTTATCACCAGTGACGATAAGTATAAAGATTTTCACATTTTATTTTGTTGAGTCATGCTCTTGTGTTGCCATATACACTGCTGGTGTGGTAAAACTTAATAACTAATGCATAGAAAAACAGCTTTTTACATCCAAAATGTAATTTCTTTGTGACTATTTGACTATGTTGTGTACACAGAGAGGGTTAGAGAGGAAAAACCTTGAGATGGAGACTGTGTTTATGTTTTGTACACACGCACTGATGTTTGTCATTTGACTTATTTGTGAGCTGTACAACAATAATGACTCTATATCAGCTGAAAATGAAAGGCTCAGGATTGAAGTGCTATAACTCTTGCCAACAAAGGAAACTGACATCTACTTTGGGCACATTAATTCACATAAAGCATTTAATTTATGATACTTTTATGTCTTTCAGCAATTGTTGGCTGTCGCAACATGACTCTTCTGACAAAAAACGAGACCTGCTCTAATGCTACATGCTCAGGTAAGTCCAACAGGGTAGCGTTTCTATCAAATATCAGATTGGGAAATTAACATTCTTCTTTTCGGTCCTCAGAGAATCGGCAGACGCCATATTTGTATTTAAATAATAACAATACTAATAATCAGCAGATTCTCTTTGGGTTTAGCTCTGAGGTGTTAATGGCCAGTCTAAGCACTTTGTCTGTCATGTTTGTTGGCAAAAAACTTGGCTAAGTGAAACAAATTATTCCACCCATCCAAGAGAAATTATGAAGCAGCACTGTGTATTTCTAGCCATTGTTTTTTTGTGGGGTGTCTATTGCTTTCCCCCTTTCACCCTGTCTTGGTGTTGGTTCCTTGTCCAGCTGTTACCTCGCCAACCCCTCCTCCCACTCCAGCCCTTCCTCCCACTTCAGCCCCCCCTCCCCCTGTTGTCACCACCGCCTCCTCTAACGGCAGCACCCCTGAGCCAATCACAGGTAACCAGTCCTAAAAAACCTCTGCTACTGTCAGCTTTACTCTCTGTTGTGCAGCATATACGATTTGGTCTTTTTAGTAGTTTTATTTAGATGTACCAACGTTGTAATATTGAAGTTTTTTTTAAATATTATATACTGTCTACATTTGTTAGCCATGCAATGTATTTGCAATGTATCTGTAATTGCGTCTTTATATAGTTTAGTTGGTAGATTTCATTGTTAGAGGTGAAGACCACCATCCCCACTCAAATTGCCAATTGACGAAGGATTGACCGGAAGTGATGCAGAGTGTAATTCAGCTTCAATTAAGCGATATCAGGCTGTTTATTGTTCAGTTTTACAAACCCAACATATCCTACTACTGCAGCGTCACATTTAAAGACTTCAATTGGCAAAACACAGTGTGGCATTTATTGTGCAGCAGTCAAAAGAAACAATGTTTTTGTCACAGTAAGTTCCATAAATCTGCATGCAAAACAAGTACTTTTTATCGTTGGATAATTTTTTACTTTTGGCAAAGGACTAAGAAAAAAACAGAACTAGTCACCGTTAGCTGTTAAATGAAGAGTTATTTTAGCGTTACATCTCCAACTACTCAGCGAGGCAACAAGCTTTACTGTGCCCTGCTGAGAAAGAAACACTCAGCTGTGTGCAGCTTGAAATCAAATAGTGGTTGAATTTATTATCCCTTTATCAAAACCACGTTTGTTTGGTTGCACTTTAGACACACTTTTACTCGTTTGTACTCCTGACAAAGACTCAAGAAATCGTTGGTATTGAACCGTACTACTTACTGATACCATGAGTGCAAATTAACCCAGACCAAATTCTTAGGGATTACAACTTCAAATAAATCATATAGCTTTAAAGGAAATCGTGTAAAGACTAATGGATGTGTTCTCACTATAACCTTACACCAGCCAATACCACCGGTGTTCCCCCTGTCATCACGACTCATAGTGGAAACATCTCCACCACGGCTTCCTCCTCTAATACAAGTAAGTCTGACATTGTGACAGAGCGAGACTATTTCCTAAATCGGTCCTGAAAGATGCATTAACTCTCCATTTCTCGTCTTTTATAACAGCTGGCATCACCCCGGCCACCACTAAGGTCGCCCCCTCTCCTGCGCCTCACGATAACACCTTCGACGCTGCGAGCTTCATCGGTGGAATAGTGCTGGTCCTGGGTCTGCAGGCCGTCATCTTCTTCCTCTACAAGTTCTGCAAGTCCAAGGACCGCAACTACCACACCCTTTGAAGCAGCCGCTCGGTTTGATCCACGTCACATGACCAATCCCCATCACTAACCAGAACCTTCCAGAGAGGACTCCCCACTCGGCACGCACTCCTCACGGGGAACTCAAACAGTGTTTTCTAGCAGGTTTTTTCTAGATCTTTGTGCCACTTTTGATATAGGCCTGCATTAGCTCTGCTGTTATAGTATGTATCAAGGCACACACACCAAGGCCTGTATGTATTATTTTAACTATACAACGCTGAAGAAATATGGATTTTTGAGCCTCATTCATCGGGTGGTTACTCCCACCTCCATCATGCCATTAGTCATTCTGTGCACGCCATTTCCCAACAGAGTGAGGCGGTTCATGTTATTCTCTCAAGTAAACAAGAGAGAATTAGTCATGTACACAGTGTAGCTTTCCTTTTTTGTAAGACGGCTGCAAACTGCTAGTATTATCATCCTTTTTTTGGATTTGGAAACACTGTTTGAGTTCACAGCTATTCTTAAGCGTGACGACTGTGATGATTCAGTATTGCTTTTAACCTGTTGAATCGTAGGCAGGTTCCCTCTTCCCCCGAGCTGTATTATGTGTTTGTAGATGATGTCAAAGTGGTGGGGGTTACGCACGAGGGAATAAAAGCAATACTAAATTATCTGATGTCAGACCAAAAAAACTAATGGTGATCCCTCTGGTCAAAAGTCTTATTCTGGGTGTCTCCTTTGGCTTTTAGGAGTGCTGTGTGTCTTCTGCTGTTGAGGTCCCTAAGGGAAAACGTTCCCTATAATAGTTGTAAAAAAACTACAAAAATCAACTGCCACTAGAGCAGCTCAATGCAATAAATCCTGTAAGTCAATTTCCCATCCTTTAATCTCCCAACTGTTATTTCTGAACTTCACCGACATCAAAACGTACCCACTCTAACGTCAGCTGGCCTTTTGCCCCCGCTTCTTTGGGGAAGTCAAAGAGGGCCCGTGGGTCATAATGAAAGATTGTAGAATATTTCAGAAATAGAAATAAATATTTTGTTTTAGATAATGTGTAATATAGAGAACAGGGAGATAAGGAAAATGGCATGCACCTTCTTGATGTGGACAGTGATAGCAGTGAAGTGCCTTTAATGTCCTGGGAGACTTAAAGATAGCGGTGGAAGAGTGTGAGTCTTTTCTTCTTGTTTGAGGCCCAAGTGTTATCATTAGTTTCTTTAAAGAAAGAAACGGTATCGCTGTGCTGATATTGGTGAGAACTGTAGTATCCCAGCTGGACTGAAGAGCCTTTATTGTGAAGTATACAATAGATAGTTGCCATTTGAGGGCCTTGATCAGTCCAGCTTGAAGTTTTTTCCCTATAAGTAGAAGACTATATTCAGTACAAGAATATATCGTCCTCTCACTGGTGACTGTGTAAATGGAAAGGCTCTCTCCCTTTAGTAGTGCCCAACACTGCTCCCAAATGTCCTCCCTCCTCACTATGTATTCCTCAATTGTGTTAAATTTCGAAGCATGAACAGTGACCTGGCAGGAAATGTGGGACCGCTGTTCGGTGATATAAATCAGGGAATGTTCTTTAAACAAAAGGCAAGAATATTGGGCTTAGTTTAATAAACTTGAGTATTGCGGAGAGTGCATTGAGGTAAAAATGTTGGACTGTTTGAGTGCTTGTTTGGTCAAATGAGCATCGCACCTCTGATTTCTGACTGTGCCGTGTAAATGCGAGGATTGTGAATGAAGTGCAGAACTGCAGCAACAGAGCTCCATGCTAGAGCTCATGCTCTCTTACTAGCTTGCTGCTAACTGTGTGATTTAATTTGTTCCCTTTTTGTCCCTCCTGTACATAGCCATGTCCTGTTTTTGTTCATCTTCAACTTAAGGAAAGGCTAAATGAAGGAGTGTTTATCAGTACATCTTTGCTCGTAGCGGCTTGTTGGTGTCAAGAATGTTCTTTTTTTCCCTTTATTGCATGCTGAATGCTAGGAGTTGTGATTTGTCCTCCCATTGCATATGCTCTTAGGGATTTAGACACTTAAAAACCACTTGATTATTTGTGATTAGTCCATATGCTAGTTGAAAGAATGCCTTGAAAACTTGTGCATTGAGCCAAAGTCCTCAGTTTTGGCATGGAAATTGAGCATTGCACTGACGAGCTTTGTTTTGTAAGTTTCTCTTTGTAAATGTTTTCATGGTTCAGCCAATAACAAAAAAATCTGATGCTTGTATAAATACTCGGTCTTGAATATTAACTAGATAATGGATGAATAATCACATTGTTTTGTCATCACAAACTGTAATAAATCCATGTTTCTTTTCTTCTTTTGGCTTTTATAATTTAGGTTCACATGTTTCCTGCTGCTCACCATTAATACGCCTTTTTAACACAGTCACCTGGTGGCATTAGGCTGCAGCCCAAAGACCCAACTGCAGCGAGAAGGCTCCAGAGTTTTGCCTTAGCTGCACCCATTTGTCCATTTGCTGCTTTTGTAGAGCCTTCGCCTAAATTTAGAGGAATATTTTAGTTTTATTCACAGCTGTTGCCTGCTGTGTGAATCCAGCCTCTGCTTTCGACATGGTAGCTGCATTCCTTAAGAACACAGCATCACATGTTGACCTCAAAACACAATAGATGTCCATTGTGTCGACTCTCCGAAGCTTCTCCTACTTACTCAGTCCGTGCACCTCTTAAAGAAAAGTGCCTTATTCAGTTAATACCCATATAAAGTTGTAGTTTGTAAAAAAGAAATGATATGCCACACCTATTAAATGATTGGGACTCAGCACTTTCAGACCCCTGTGAAGTGGTTTTCTGTGATGTATTCTGCCTAAACGTTTGTTTTGTCATGCTCAGCCTTAACTTCTAGATCACACCCACAGAGCATTTACTATTGATGAGATGAGCAGGCACAAACCAGGCTGCTTATATTTGAAAAGTCTGTTTGTTGGATGTATTTTGTACTTTAAAGGCTGGCATTTAAGTGTCTACAAATCAACCAATCACACAATAGAATTATAGATGTTTAAATGCAGCTAATGGATGATATCGTTTTCAACTAAAAGAAGCCTGGTTTTAGCGTGGACAACTTCTCACCAGCACATTGTAACTAAATAGCTGCAACATTTTTCTCCATAATGCAAACATGATGACTTGAAGTCCACTTTGGTTGTAATTTTCAATTGTTTTATTGAATTACTTGTTTTCTGTTCAGTAGGATTTTAAATGTGCTTGGTCATGGAGGGCTCTCCTCGGTTTTCAGCCTGGCAGTGTCAATGAGCAACGAGTTAAAAGCTTTTTGATTCCCTCATTTGCTTTTGTGGCTTTATTTCTTTCTGCACACACTGTAGTGCCATACCTTTTTGTGTTAGAGGCCGGCTTGAAGATACGATATTTTGTTCCTCCCACCCCTCTTTGACAGCCATATGTAGACACTTGCAGGTGCCACAAAGCCTCTTGAAATGTTGTTTTGCTTATTTTGAGCTACTTTTTCCCATCTTTTACAAACCTTTTGTTTTTTATTTTGTGCCTTGTTTTCAAGTGTTGCCTTTTAGTTTCACGATGTAAAGCCAATAAAGTTTGAATATTGTTAAAACAAATCCCCGTGTTCACCTTTTCATTTTGCAGCAGTGGCAACTGTCTTGAAGCTTGTGATTTCAATGACAAATCAAAAGTGGGACGATGAGTCAGGTCACAGGATACATCGCCATGGTTACAATTGAGCTGCTGGTTGCCCAGACAACAAGTATCAGTTAGGGATCAGGGTCTGCTTTGTGTGTGTGTGTGTGTGTGTGTGTGTGTGTGTGTGTATAATGCTAGGTCAACAAGCTCTCGTCTTACAGGAGCGAATAATAGCAAAGCAGTGCTGAACAAACCCTCTCATCAAATATTTACAGTCTTTAAACAATTAAACATTCAGCAGTGTTTACCTTTGAAAACTGTATTTGGAGATAGATATGTTTGTGTAGGGCTGCAACTATAATAAATGTTTTCAGTATCAATTCATCTGGTTAATATTTTATAGATTCAATGATTAAATATCTGGTCTATAGAATGTCCATGATAGCAATATCTAAATGTCTTCCAAAAACGTAAAGCATTGATTTCATATAGGCTACAGAGAAAATCAGGACATATCAATAATTGAAAACAGCATGCTATATGCATAGAAAAGACTTAAAGATTAACAAAACAGTCACTGCAGCTTTATGTGTGAAAAAGATCTGTAGTTGTTTACAGACATTCTGCCAAGCTAGCCAGTGTTAGCTTCAAATGTAGCCTACTGTAGGCCTATAGTATATCATTAAACTCTAAAAGGAAACAGAAACATAATTCGTTTCAGCCAAATAACTTTATTTGCTGTCATGTAGCAATTCAAACCCAGAGGAACCCACCAATCTGTTCAGAACAACACGATTGGAAAAACAGAGACAGGACACAGGCCGTTTCCCAGGTCACAGCACGTTTCTGCTGATGTAGCAAAAACTGTGGCTTTAAAGGAAATGTCTGTGTTCACCCTCAAGAATCACAGTCTGTATACATTCTTAAACAAAGTGTGTGTGTATGTGTGTAGAATTAGTGTTTGTGCTGAGCAGTTATTCTTCCAGTGGCACCGAGTCACCACTGTTTCCCAGAACCAAAGAGTTACAGGAAAAATGTTTTTCGGACAACCACATAATTCCTCTCTCGTGTGTCCATAAAAAACAACCCTGCACAGTATCTGCTGGTAATGGACAGCAATGCTACTGCAGCTCTATCAGGAACTGCTTTTATGAGCTTTTCGCACACTGAAGATATACTTTTTTTTTCTTTTCATAGAAACTAGGAACACTAAAACACACTGTGATCAATATAATCTTGCAATTTATCAATGAGTTGATCAGCATAAGAAGTAATCCCAATGTTATGTGCACAACGGATTAATTGTTACATTTTTCATGCATAGGCTACATGTCAGAAAATGCTTTTTTCAGGCAGCAAATATGGATAACTCCTGCCTTTTCTCTTTTAAATCATATTAAACTGATTATCACTGGATTTTGGACTGTCAGAACAAGACATTTAGACATCATGCTAGAAACTGTTATAGACATTTGTCTTTTTTATGTACGATTATTCAAGAAAGTAATTAGTGTTTATTGATAATAAAAGCAAGTAGTTGCAGCATTAAAATGTACAATGTAGACTTACCTTCATGAGATGTTGGTCATTTATAGGAAATTCTTTGACATACCCACACAGACTCGACCCAGCCCTCCTACACACACTGCTATTAAAAAGAGGGTCGTCCAGTCACGGGTATCATGGCTGCAGGGTCAGGAGAAATGCTGTTTGTGGGCAATGAGGGCTCTGGACTTGCCTCGGCTAACCTGATTTCTGTGTCCAGTCATGCTCTGTAATCTAATATGGGAGCACAGGAAAACAATGCAATAGGTTTAGTCTCTCTCAGCTCAGTCCATTAGGCCATGCCAAGAATATCAGGACCAATCCATTTTAGCTAGATAACGCACTGAAATGCTGAGGGCAAAAATAACAATCAGCTGTTTTGTACTCCCATGACCCAGAACCTTGGACAGGGAAGTTATGGGTGTTGCACTGTTTTAAATAAAGTTTTTATCACAACAATTTCTCACTAAAAAAACACTGGAATCTGTGGTTTGGATAAGGAGTGACTAAGACAAGCTTTAAAGTTGATAATTTAAAAATTGTGACCTAATACAAATGTTGACAGGCCTGATAACAAGGAGATAATGCAAGAATGTTATGATGCAGCTTCACATATTCATTGCATAAAAAGATGGCTGACTCAAAAAAGCAAAATAGCAAGGCCAACCAGGAACTTGTCACCAATCTGAAGAAAAAGAGTAATAGCTATCATTTGAATTTAAACAGAAATGTGACTGTTCTGGCAGTGTAAATTTGCACAATCCTCTGGCAAGAAGCAGTTCCTTCCACTTGTGCACCTCGATCAGAAACCACATCCTGACCAGGGCTATATTTACTCAGCTGTCCAACCAGTTGCTATAACAGAGTAAACAAAGTTGATCCATCTCTATTACACACGGTTAAGGACACTAGGATCTTGCTGCTGCACCCATAAATCCCATAAAGTTATTTTATTATACATGGAACTGTACAGTGTGGTGTAATCCCTCACATTTGTAACATTGACATATGGCTGAGCACTGCCCCCTAGTGTGAGGTTAAAGCAATGAAGCAGCTATAGAAAAACATTTGTGTGAAACATGAGAAAAAAAATTGAGTTACAATATTGAGAGCAAAGGCTTTATTACAATTATTTTTAAATTAAAATAGATTACTCCAGCTTCATTGGAGATATCATGGTCATTAATTATAAACTATACACTATCTACCCATGTGTGTGCATTACTTCATTTAAGTCCATCACCCATTGATTAACAGGTTTAAGGAGAAACACATTATCAAGTCCTGTGGGAAACATAAAAACACTTTATTCCCTTGTTTCAGTTGTTACTAAAAAAATATCCAAGAGGCCATTTGAAGAGAAGGAAAAACAGACCACAAGGAACCAAGGGAGTGTTGTGGTCCAACCAGCTGTAGCATCAAAGTCTGCACACAGAAAGGTCTCTCAGAGAGCCTCATGTTTCCCAGCAGAGGTCGTCCTGTTTTAGTTTGTTTCTGAACTTCTGGGTTTCTCTAAGAAGCTGCAGGTTGTTGTTAGTGGGCCTGCTTTTCTTTCCTTTCTTCTGAGCCTTCACAGGAGAGGGAACAGGAGGCCTGATGCTACTTGGCTTAGTGGTTGTAGGATCCTCAGCCCCAGGATGGGTCAATTTGTGGACCTGTGCAGGAGCCAAAGACAGGAAACATTAGATACCTACAGAGTTAGGGATGGAGATCAGCTGACACTACAAATACATACGCACCAACAGGTCGATTGACAGCTAATTGGCCATGACGGTGAACAGCTAATCAGTCCGTAAAAATAAGACATTCTCTTTTGCGAATTTGCACTCATGTGGCGCAAGATGGTTTCATGTTGCGCACAGAGAGTAACGTCAAAACCACAAACACATCATGTCCTCTTTGTGGGTTCAGTTTTGGAGAAATGTCATGTTAAGTTATTTAATAGACTGTTAAAGTGGAATTGTGTGCTTGGCAACAGCTTGAGTCTATTCCTACTTACTGTAAGCTGATATCATTCACATACACGGCAATAGGAAATAAACTACGAAACTGTTCATGTTTACAGTGATATGGTCTCTAGTCAATGTTTTATTTTTAACACAAATTGAATTTCATGGAAAGAAAGGAAATCTGAATCGGCAGATCATACTTTTAAAAGAAATTGGCATTAAAACCAATACTGGACATATTTACATTTCTGTTGGCATACAAGACTTTCACATATCTACCAAGCCTGCCTCTGTGTTGTGGAGAGTTTACCGTCTGCTGGTGTTTGCGGAGTTTAGTGATCTGAGCTCCCTTCTCCTCCATCCTGGCGACCAGCCTCTCCAGTTCTCTCTGCAGATCCTGCATCTGCTCGCCATGTTGCATTGCATCTATCTGATGCACCAGCTCCTGATGCTCACTGACAACAAAAACACACAGGTTACCAAATGTGTAAAAGAAAATGTTAAACAGTATAACAAAAAAGCTTACTTACAAGCTCATTTGTCCTAGCTCGTCCTGCAGAGCGAGCAGCAGGTCAGACAGCGAGCCAAGTGACTCATCCGCTCGTTGGGGGTCCCTGTCCGGCTTGTTACAGGTGGTGGAAGATGGAGAGAAGTCCTTTTGGAGGCTTTTCTTGGCCGCACAACCAGACCTTTGCAGAGCGCTCACTCGTTCACACAGCTGGGGCTGATGGTGCTTCATCATGTGAAGGATACTCTGTATGTTGGCGTGGACTGAATGGCTCGGGCTGGTCGACTGCAACAGGAATAGAAAATCAAATTCAATTCAATACAAAAAAAGGAAGAACATTATAATATGTGGTTTGTTATTGCAGAGCATCAGAACTGACTTACCGTTCCTGCAACAAAGGGCATTATTTTGTGCCTTGGGCCGCTTGGTGATGCCAGCTCTTTCTCTCTGGAGATTTTCTGGAGATATAAGACAGCTGTTATCATTACTATGTGTAAACAACATTTGTTCTCATAAGATGAATACAGGCAGTTATTGAGTTTATCTGTAAAAAAGCTACCTTGGTGGTCTTTTTTGTTTTCTTCTTTGGCTTTATTTCTTCAGTTGTTGGCAGAGGTAATCGCAAGTTGGTGTTCAATTCCTTCTGCAGCTGAGGAGGTGGCAATAGTGGCAAAACATTAAAGTCAGTATTTTTAAGGTTTTGTTGGCATTTAACCATTATTAGACACTAGACATACAGTATTTTATGATTGCATTTTTTTAAACTATTGCTAACTTGTTCTGCCTTTTGTGCAAAGAAATGTGCACATTTGTTTAGCTGATTGAAAAAGTGAAGTGTGTGTGGACTAACCTCGTCTGCTTTCACTTGCACAAGTTTACGCTCATGCTCTTCATGCAGGAGTTTTTGCTCCAGAATGGCAAGCTTTGCCTGAAAGAGAGAAATTGCATTCAAATAATAATCTTATCATTCAGCTTC